GCTTTGTGGTGGTGGGGGGTGCATTCCGAGATGAGCCTTGATGGAAGGTTCTAATTCTGGAGGCAAAGACGGGGCAAGAGGGAGAGCTCAAGGGGAAGTGAGTGGTGCCTCTCTTGACTGTCTGGCCCGCTTCATGTCTGTTTCTCTGTGTTTCCCTCATGTCTCTCTTTGCCCGCTCGTCCCCTGCTCCGTCATCTTTCCCCCTCTTCATCCCATCCTTCTCTTCTTATTTTTGGTTCCCTTGTCTGTTCCTGTCTGTCTGTCCCTGCAGGAATTGCCTCCTTCCAGTGTCTACCAGCCTTGGGGCTCTGGAACCCCCGGGGCCCTGACCTCAGCAACTGCACCTCTCCCTGGGTCAACCAGGTGGCCCAGAAGGTACCAGCCACTGCCCCTCAAAGGCAGGCATATGTGCTCGGGCCCAGGGCCCAGCGGGGCTTATGGAGCAACTGGGGAGACACGGGCTCGCAGGTCTGGAAGGCAGGACTGTGGGGTCACTTCCCCAGCCCACAGAGCGAGCAGGGACAGATGGGGTGGGAAAGGGCAGACAGCGACGGGGAAGCGGAGAAAGATGGGAGAGGCTGCACAGGCCAGGGAACCCAGGGAGGGCAGGATGGTCCCTGACAGACCTGGATTCTCCCTCCCCACCCCCCACCTTATGCAGATCAAGAGTGGAGAGAATGCAGCCAACATTGCCAGCGAGCTGGCCAGACACACCCGGGGCTCCATCTACGCAGGGGACGTCTCCTCCTCTGTGAAGCTGATGGAGCAGCTGCTGGACATCCTGGACGCCCAGCTGCAGGCCCTTCGGCCCATCGAGCGCGAGTCAGCTGGCAAGAACTACAACAAGGTGGGGCCTGGTGCTGGGGCTGACCTGGTGCGGGGTCACCTGCCCCCAGTCTCTGGAAGTATCTGACCTGGTACCTTCCAGCCCGGCTGCCACCCCCACTCACTTCTCAGAGAGGAAGGAACCCCAAGGACTGCTGGGTGTCACTCCTGTGCTGCCCCAGATGGTCCTGGGGGTTGGGGATCCCTGAGGAAATGTCTTGCTCATAGCTCAGCCCTGGGTCAGTGGTAGCCATAGACAACAAAGCTATCCAGATATGACAGTACTTGGGTTAGGGAACCGGCACCCAGGGGCCTGGCCCGACATCACTTCCATCTCTTTCTAGATGCACAAGCGAGAGAGAACTTGCAAGGATTATATCAAGGTAAGACCTGAGGGGTTCCAGTGTAAGGACCATGGGCTCCAGCTGATGGGGGCTGTGGGGGGCCAGGGAATAGGGTTGGAGGTTGAGAATAGGGCACACAGAGCCCACCCAGAGAAATTAGAGGGTATTAGGGGGCCTCACAGCACCATCCCCCTGCTTGTGCAGGCTGTGGTGGAGACAGTGGACAATCTGCTCCGGCCAGAAGCTCTGGAGTCCTGGAAGGACATGAACGCCACAGAGCAGGTACACACAGCCACCATGCTCCTGGACGTCCTGGAGGAGGGTGCTTTCCTACTGGCTGACAACGTCAGGGAACCTGCCCGCTTTCTGGCTGCCAAGGAGAACGTGGGTGAGTGCCACGGTCAGTCACCCAGGGCAAACTCAGACACAAACCTTAAACCACAGGGTTCTGGGCTGGAGGCCACAGGGGGGATACCCAGACCTTGGGCATCTTGCCACAGGGTCTCGTTATGCAACCTGAGCCTCTGGACTGCTAACAGACCCCAACTGTGTGTGCCTTGCCTTCCCCTGTCCCCACAGTCCTGGAGGTCACAGTCCTGAACACAGAGGGCCAGGTGCAGGAGCTGGTGTTCCCCCAGGAGGAGTACCCGAGAAAGAACTCCATCCAGCTGTCTGCCAAAACCATCAAGCAGAACAGCCGCAATGGTCAGTGCCCCTGGGGCCTCGGGTGGGGAGGCAGCCCCTCATCAGCCCTGTGCCACTGTCTCTGCGCCATTTATGGAGGGCAGTGGTCCTGAACTTCTCCCATGCTAGTGTAAAATTTCAGGGGATTCGTGGGTCCCCTGCCTGAGGGTGAGCCTTGCAGTTGCCAAGTTGGCTCCTGGGCCTCACAGCTCAGAGAGGTCAGGGCTTTGCCCAAGGTGACACGGTGAGAATGGGTGGGTCGGAGGCCCAGCCCCTCTGTGTCCCATCACTGCCCTGCTGTTGAGAACTGCTTTCGGCTGAACAGCGGTCTTGTGGACAGGGCTCCCTGACTCCCACCTGCCTAAGCTGTGGACTGGCTTCAGAGGTCCCAGTGGCCAGCGTGGCCAAGGGCTGAGGAGCTGGCTAAGCTGGGAAGCCAGGGGCCTGGACGGAGGTGCGCCAGCTGAGGATGCTGACACATCCAATCATGCCTGTCCTCGCCAGGGGTGGTCAAAGTTGTCTTCATCCTCTATAACAACCTGGGTCTCTTCCTGTCCACGGAGAACGCCACGGTGAAGCTGGCCGGGGAAGCAGGCCCGGGTGGCCCCGGGGGTGCCTCTCTGGTGGTGAACTCACAGGTCATCGCAGCTTCCATCAACAAGGAGTCCAGCCGCGTCTTCCTCATGGACCCTGTCATCTTCACCGTGGCCCACCTGGAGGTGAGCTGAGCTGCCCCCTCCCTCCAGGGGGGTTGCCGTACCCTCTGTTCCCTGGCTGTGTACCTGCCCCCACACGATGTGCTCACCTCCAGAACAAGTTTCCACTTGAGTGGCTTGGGCTATTTGTCCCCCGAGCTCTCAGAATGTCAAACGGAGCCTCAGAACCCAGGCACTTCTTTGATACTTGGCACCATCCCTGTAGCCAGGTGTGGGGGGGCCAGAATGGGACTCCCTGGTTCTGACTCCAGTTCTGACACCCCGGCACCACCACACAACAGGACAAGAACCACTTCAATGCTAACTGCTCCTTCTGGAACTACTCGGAGCGTTCCATGCTGGGCTACTGGTCGACCCAGGGCTGCCGCCTGGTGGAGTCCAACAAGACCCATACCACGTGTGCCTGCAGCCACCTCACCAACTTCGCCGTGCTCATGGCTCACCGTGAGATTGTAAGCTGGCAGGCACTCTGCTTCTCCAGGCGGGCCTGCTTGCTGGCCTGGCTTTGCATGGCATCCTAGAGAGGTCATGGGCAGTGCCGGGGAGGCCAGCCTTGTGGGCGTTGGGGGGCCCCTAGTCTTGCTTGGGGCATGAGGCCACGCGTCTGGTTCTCTCTGGTCCTCTGTGGCGTGGTCCCACCTTCTCCCAAGGCACTCTGGAGAAGCAGGTTGGTGGTATGTTGGTCATCTCTCCACAAGCCTTCCAGAGCATGAGGAAGTGAGCGCACTGCTGTGTACAGAGGGTGGAGGCTGCCAGGTTGGCAGCACTAGAGGTCCTCGAGGCCCATGGCCTTGCCCAGGGCCCTGCCTGCAGCTGGCACCTGGCTGAGCCCAGTGTGCAAAACAAAAGGCCCTGAGCGTGCCCCTGCTCCTATCCCCAGTACCAGGGCCGCATCAACGAGCTGCTGCTGTCAGTCATCACCTGGGTGGGCATCGTGATCTCCCTGGTCTGCCTGGCCATCTGCATTTCCACCTTCTGCTTCCTGCGGGGGCTGCAGACCGACCGCAACACCATCCACAAGAACCTGTGCATCAACCTCTTCCTGGCTGAGCTACTCTTCCTGGTTGGGATCGATAAGACTCAGTATGAGGTGGGCTGGGACTCGAGGGCAGGTGATGGCCAGTGCCTGGGTTGGGGGCCAGGAAAGGGTGACGCCTGCCTAGGCAGCAGCCCTCACCCTCGGTGCTCCCCGCAGATCGCCTGCCCCATCTTCGCCGGCCTGCTGCACTACTTCTTCCTGGCTGCCTTCTCCTGGCTGTGCCTGGAGGGCGTGCACCTCTACCTGCTGCTGGTGGAGGTGTTTGAGAGCGAGTATTCCCGCACCAAGTACTACTACCTAGGTGGCTACTGCTTCCCGGCCCTGGTGGTGGGCATCGCGGCTGCCATTGACTACCGCAGCTATGGCACCGAGAAGGCGTGAGTTGCCACCTCCTGGCCCTGTACCTATTCTCTCCTTCCACCTGGTTCCCTGCTCCGTGGCACCCCTTGGACCAGGACCCTCAGGGGCAGTGGCCTCCCTTCCTCCTCCTCATCCCTGAGGCTGCAGCCTCCAGAGTCCTAGGCCTTCACAGATCACAGGGAATGGCCCCTCGGCTTCTCTCTACACCCCGGCCCTGTTTCCTTTACAGCTGCTGGCTCCGAGTGGACAATTACTTCATCTGGAGTTTCATTGGGCCCGTCTCCTTTGTTATCGTGGTGAGTTGGGAGGTGACACCTCATCTCCTTTCTTCATCCAGGCTGGCCTTGACCCCAGCCCCTGCCCCCCACACTCTCCCCGCACACTGGAACTGAGCTACCAGCTGAGAGAATAAGAGTGCGCTGGGTCCGTGGAGCTCCAGCGCTGAGGGCTGCTCACCGGGGACTGTGATTTGAGCCCCTACCGTGTGTCAGGTCATGCGCCCTGTCTTCCCAGCAGTCAGGAGTGGCAGTAAAATGCCAGTCAGCTCACTGCCACATGATGGGCACCTCAGGGGCAGGTCCGGGGTTCTCCCAGCAGAGGCGAGGGCTACAGCCAAGACTTTGCCAGGCTGGGCCCTAGCCTCAGCACTCACTAAGGGAGGCAGGGCCACTCTCAGCCCAGCCCGTCCCTTGTCCGGCCCTCAGGTCAACCTGGTGTTCCTCATGGTGACCCTGCACAAGATGATCCGAAGCTCATCTGTGCTCAAGCCTGACTCCAGCCGCCTGGACAACATTAAGTGAGCCCCGCCCCTGCCTGCCCCCTGCCCCATCACCCCCCTTGCTGATCCCACTTTTCCCAGGGTGTCCAAAAAGGTGGTGCTGTCAACTCTGGTGACACACATTGCAATTTTAAGTATCAAGAGGGGTGTTTTATTGTATTCACTATGTACCTACTTAATCGGTCTTAGAAAGCGTATCATTAGCACGTCCAACCTGTGGTTTTAGGGGCATAACTGCATAGAGTGACGCTAAATTCAAAAGGTGAGTCTGTTTAAGGGCAACTTAAAGAGAAATAGGCAGCAAGATGTAGCCTAAGTTGTCTGGAAACCCTCAGGCCCAGGCTGGGGTGGAGGCGTCCTGGGCAGGGTACTGCCCTCAAGGCCCACTCACCTGCCCTGCTGGGTTAGGGCTTTGCAGACAGTGCCCAGGCCCACCCAACGGCCCCCACTTATTGGCTGCAGGGGAGGCCTAGGCTGAGGCCGTCCCCTCCGGCGGGTACTTTGACACCCCATCTCTCCACCGCCAGATCCTGGGCCCTGGGGGCCATCGCCCTGCTGTTCCTGCTGGGTCTCACCTGGGCTTTCGGCCTCCTCTTTATCAATAAGGAATCGGTGGTCATGGCCTATCTCTTCACCACCTTCAACGCCTTCCAGGGGGTCTTCATCTTCGTCTTTCACTGCGCCTTACAGAAGAAGGTGAGGTCGAGCCGGGGTCCTGGGTCACAGCCTCCCTTGGAGACATTTCCTGGGCACCCAGGAGAAGGAGGCGAGGGTGGAGGGGACTCAGGGCTCCCTGAAGCCCCCAGTGAGTGCTGCAGGCCTTCAGCAGTCAGGTCTGCGTCCTTCAGGAGAGGAGCATGAGCTCAGGACTTAACCACAGGTGAAGAGGGTTCTGGAAAAAGGCAAGGTACAACAGCTTAAAGGAGTGAGAGCAGGACAGATTTGGTGATGGGCAACCCTCACCACCATGAGGACCACAAGTCAGGCCTGGCAGGGGGAGGACTTTGGGAGCCAACCTGAGGGAGCACTGCCTACGTTCATAGTTCTGGAAAGAATTGTGAATTTTGTGGCGATATAAAGGATCTTTTTAAAATAAATGGGTTAAAATATGAGTCTCAGAAAAACATACAGGCTGGGTGTGGTGGCTCATGCCTATAATCCCAGCACTTTGGGGGGCCAAGGCCGGGCGGATCACCTGAGGTCAGGAGTTCCAGACCAGCCTGGCCAACATGGCAAAACCCCATCTCTCCTTTATATAAAAATTAGCCAAGCATGGTGGCAGGCGCCTGTAGTCCCAGCTCCTTGGGAGGCTGAGGCAGGAGAATCGCTTAAACCTGGCAGGTGGAGGTTGCAGTGAGCCGAGATCATGCCACTGTACTCCAGCCTGGGTGACAGAGTGAGACTCCATCTCCAAAACAACAACAACAACAACAAACACATACAAAGGGCTGGGTGCAGTGACTCATGCCTGTAACCCCAGTACTTTGGGAGGCTGAGGTGGGAGGATCCCCTGAGCCCAGGAATTCGAGACCAGCCTGGGTAACATAGAGACCCTGTCTCTATTTAAAAAAAAAAAAAAAAAAAAAAAAAAAAAAAAAAAGGGGGAAAACAGTATCAGGGGAACGTGGACAGGGAGTGAGGGTCCAGGCGGCACCCTCATGACTGAAGCTGGGGAGACGGAGCTGTGGCATTTGTTGAGTTGGCTCTGGCGGCAGTGCAGGCCATGGAGACTGCTGTTGGACTTCGGGAGTGGTGAGGTGGGTAAGGCTTAAGGCAGGGGATGGCAGAGGCAACAGTCATGAGAATTCTCGTTGCAAGGGAAAAGGTGGTCTGTGTCCCTGCTCTGCCCAACACTGTCCTGGTCCCTCCTTGGACACACAGTCAAAGGCAGTGTCTGCACAGCCCCCACCTCACACGCAGTGACAGTGATGTCCTTTCAGGGGCCCCTAGGTCCCTATGGTCTGATCTGGGACCCTCGATTCCCCTCCCTATCTCTGCTTTCAGACACCTAGATGTGAACCCTCTTCAGGGTACAGCCCCTGTCCTTGCCCCGGCCTGAATGAGGCCTCCTCTGATCTATTTATTTTTTTAGGTTTTTTATTTTATTATTGTTACTATTATTTTTTTTTAGATAGAGTCTCACTCTTTTACCCAGGCTGGAGTGCAGTAGTGTGATCTTGGCTCACTGCAACCTCTGCCTCCTGGGTTCAAGCGATTCTCCTGCCGTCATCTCCAAGTAGCTGGGATTAAGGCGAACACCACACACCTGGCTAATTTTTGTATTTTTAGTAGAGACGGGGGTTTCACCATATTGCCCAGGCTCGTCTCGAACTCCTGACCTCAGGTGATCTGCCCACCTTGGCCTTCCTAAGTGCTGGGGTTACAGGTGTGAGCCACCATGCCCCTGATCTATTTAAAATCACAACCTGCTCCCAGGTCAGCACTGCCTAACCCCCTTTCCAGCCATAGTTTTCTCCATAGAATCTATCATCATCTGATAGCCTGCATATTTATATTTTCATGTACGTTGTGTCTCTGTCTACTGAAATATAAGCTCTGAGAGGTAGGTATTTGTGTCTGTTGTTTTCTGTACCATTCCTGAGGCCTAATATATGCCTGGCACATAGTGGATGCTTATGAATGCTCTGTTGCTTTTATGAATGAATAAAAAACGGTCAGTGGCAGTAGAGAACCTGATCAGCTGGCTGTCGGGGGACAGGGGACAGCAGGGTTTCTGTGGCCTGCAAGTCACTGAGCAGGGGAACACAGTCATTGGAAGCTCTGTCTCCGGCCTCCTGAGTCTACCTTGTGCCAGCCCTGTGGGAGTATGGATCACAGAGGAGGCTGGTGTCCCAGCCAGCTGACTGTCCTTGTTCCCCAGGTGCACAAGGAGTACAGCAAGTGCCTGCGTCACTCCTACTGCTGCATCCGCTCCCCACCCGGGGGCACTCACGGGTCCCTCAAGACCTCAGCCATGCGAAGCAACACCCGCTACTACACAGGGACCCAGGTATCACGCCAGGCAGGGTTCCCTGGGGCTGAGTGTTGGAACCTGGAGCCTGAGAGGCGGGGAGTGGCTTGGCCTGGGTCTGTGATGGCGATGATCGGGCGAGCAGTCTCAGATGCCAGAGGGTGGGTGGCCCAAGGGTCCCCTCACATCCGGGTTGTGTCCCCAGAGCCGAATTCGGAGGATGTGGAATGACACTGTGAGGAAACAGACAGAGTCCTCCTTCATGGCGGGTGACATCAACAGCACCCCCACCCTGAACCGAGGTGAGAAGGGTCCCTCTGCCTCTGGCTCTGGTCTCTCGAGGCTCCCGGCTGCCTTGTGACCTCTGATCCCTTGGCCAGGTACCATGGGGAACCACCTGCTGACCAACCCTGTGCTGCAGCCCCGTGGGGGCACCAGCCCCTACAACACCCTCATTGCCGAGTCAGTGGGCTTCAATCCCTCCTCGCCCCCTGTCTTCAACTCCCCAGGTGAGGGCACAGGGGAAGCATCCAAGTCGGGAACTGTGGGGTTTACGTCCCAGGGGACCCCCGCCTGGGATGTTCTATGCCCCAGAACTGGAGCCTGGACTTGGCATTTCAAGCTCACCCTTGCCTTCTCTCTTTTCTCTCCTGGCTGTCACCTGCAGGGAGCTACCGGGAACCCAGTAAGTGCTACTCTTCCCTGGAAATGTTTCCGAGACTGGGAGAGGGACAGACAGTGGCCTTCTCAGATGGCTCACTTAAGGAAGAGAACTTGGGATGCCCTCCCCATCCCCCTGCCCCCACCGAACAGTCTGGCTGGCAGCTGGATAGAGGATAATCGGTGGTGGTCATTGAGTTTGGGCCTTTAGGTGTGAGGGTCTGAGCACAGGAGAGGGATTCTGTCGCCCAGGCCTCCTCATACTGCTGAGATTCTGAACCTCCAGCTGGGCGACGAGACCCTGGGGGAACTGGTCCTTGTCCCCCAACTTTAACCAATCTGCTTTTGGGCTGCTGCCTCTACTGCCAGTGAGGGAGAAAGGGTATGTCAGACCAGAGTTCCCATGGGGCAGGGGGAAGCCCACAGAAAACCAGCAGGAATGGAGCCCCACTTCTCCCGATGGACCCCCAGTGCAGCCAGGGCCCTTCTCCCACCTGACCAGCCCCTTTTTGCCCTGCAGAGCACCCCTTGGGAGGCCGGGAAGCCTGTGGCATGGACACCCTGCCCCTGAATGGCAACTTCAACAACAGTTACTCCTTGCGAAGCGGGGATTTCCCTCCCGGGGATGGGGGCCCGGAGCCACCCCGCAGCCGGAACCTGGCTGATGCTGCAGCCTTTGAGAAGATGATCATCTCAGAGCTGGTGCACAACAACCTGCGGGGGAGCAGCAGTGCAGCCAAGGGCCCTCCACCACCTGAGCCCCCTGTGCCGCCTGTACCAGGGGGCGGGGGTGAGGAAGAGGCAGGCGGGCCCGGGGGTGCTGACCGGGCGGAGATCGAACTTCTCTATAAGGCCCTGGAGGAGCCTCTGCTGCTGCCCCGGGCCCAGTCGGTGCTGTACCAGAGTGATCTGGACGAGTCGGAGAGCTGCACGGCCGAGGACGGCGCTACCAGCCGGCCCCTCTCCTCCCCTCCAGGCCGGGACTCCCTCTATGCCAGCGGGGCCAACCTGCGGGACTCACCCTCCTACCCGGACAGCAGCCCTGAGGGGCCCAGTGAGGCCCTGCCCCCACCCCCTCCCGCACCCCCCGGCCCCCCTGAAATCTACTACACCTCGCGCCCGCCAGCCCTGGTGGCCCGGAATCCCCTGCAGGGCTACTACCAGGTGCGGCGGCCTAGCCACGAGGGCTACCTGGCAGCCCCAGGCCTTGAGGGGCCAGGGCCCGATGGGGACGGGCAGATGCAGCTGGTCACCAGTCTCTGAGGGGACCTCATGGACCAGGGGCTGGTGGCCCAGGCCAGGGAGGGAACCCTGGGCAAGGCTCTGGTGGGAGAGGGAGACAGATGGAGGCAGTGGCTGGTGGGCCACTCTCCTGATGCCCCTCAGCCATGGGCCCTACAGTCCCCTCAAGGGACTCTGACCTAGGGGCCTGAGGTGCCAGGGCTCACAGACAGGGTTTCCCACCAGCCACATGCACCAGCTCTATTTGGGGGAAGTGTAGTGAGGAGGAGCCCAGAGGTCCTAGGGGAGGGAGGAGGGAGAACTTGGAAGGGTGCAGCCCACTTCCGGACTCTCCCCTCTCCCACCCTTGCCACTGCCTGAAGGGAAACGAGGGTTTTAGTTTCCCTGGGCAGGGAGGGCAGCTTCTGAGGTTGCCAAAGGCCCCACTGGATGGCACCTGTCAGCTGCCCCTCTCCACAGTCAGAAATGCTGCCGGCTGCACCCAGAGGGAGCAGCGAGGCGGGACACATGGACACGTTCCTCCTTGAGCTACAATTCCCTGCTCCCTGGAGACTGGGAAAAGGCCGAAGGCAGAGGGACTGGGCGGTGGTTTAAAGGTCGAACTTTCTCTGAAGCTCCTTTCCCCTTGCTCTTGGTCCCTGCCCCCCAAGCAAGCCTGCCTCCTCCACCTCCCAATGTACCCAATGACCCCCTCCCTTGGGGTGACTCCTGATGAAGCACAACTCCCTGCAGGGCCCCCAGCCCACAGGGGTGGCCATATTTGGGCAGTTCCCAGTCCTGTGGGCTTGGCTATCTGGGAAGCAGATTTTGGGTCTGGATTTCCCTGGGGAGTGGGTCCTGGGCTTGGATCTTTCCCTAGGGGGCCCTCTTATCCCTTCCTCTCTCCTCCTCCTCCCCCATTGCTGTAAATATTTCAACGAAATGGAAAAGAAAAAAAAAAAGACAAAAAAAGAAAAGACAAAAAATCTCATCACTTGAAGCCACTGGGAGCCTGCGGCCCGGGCAGACCAGCCCGGGCT